AGAAGTTTTTTGGAAAATGCCCCCCCCTCTGTAGATCATTCAGCATTGTGGTGGAGTTTCCCACTTTTCTGCTCTGTAACTGATCTTCTCCCTCAATTTTTTTGTCTTCAGAAGCTGGATGGAGTCGCCAAGCTCCGCACAGTTCGGGAAGCCCCCTCTGAGTGCATCTGTCCCCCAGGTAAGTGTTGAATTGTTCCTTGCTAGCTCCTGACATCTGGAGGCCTGGCGCTTCTTCTACCTGCCATGTGGTTGTTAAATGTTCAGGTCACCCTCAATCAAGAGGATGGTCTGTCGCGCCAGGCTGTGGCCCTCTGGGAACCATCTTGGCTTCCCCTGGCAGCTGGTTTGTCACACATTGGCTGGATCTCTCAGGGTGTATTAAAACTGGCTTCAAATAAGGGCTTCGTGGTGGGAAAGTACCAGCCCTCTGAATGAGTGTGTAGTATGAGCTGGAGGAGACACCCGCCTTGCTTCATGGTTGCTGTGAGGTGAGCTCTGATTGGCACAGGGAGGGAACAACTGGTGAGCCTGCAATTTGTTTTTGTTGTTACTTTGGGTATGGGACCAGAAAAGTCAGTCTGGGGCATTTGGGTAATCAAGTCTCTCTGTTTTGCTGGTGTGGACTAGGAGGGCCCCGGATAAAACCTGGGCTTCTGAGTGCCCCAGTCATGTGGTTTAAATCCAGATGCATGGTGGGAAGGAGAGCATGGAGCACTGTGAGTTTTGGGTGGAGTTTCTACCCTGGGCTTTCAAGGTGAGGCTGAGCCTTGCATGGGATGCTGTGTGACACTGGGAAGGAGAGGCTGGTGGCAATGAGCTTCAGGCTGGACTCTCTCTCTCTCTCTCTCCCCCCCTGTGTGTGTGTGTGTGTGTGTGTGTGTGTGTGTGTGTGTGTGTGTGTGTGTGTTCATGTGTATGTGCACATGTATGTGGAAGCCAGAGGTTGGTGCTGGTGACTTCTTCAGATACTGCCCACCTTGATTTTTGAGACAGGGTCTCTCACTGAACTTGAAGCTATGCTGGCTGACTGGGAGCTCCGGGACCCACCTGTGTCTGCCTCCCCAGCACTGGGATGACAGTGAGTGCTGGGCCACTGAACTTTTAGCATGGGATCTGAACTCGAGTCCTATGCTTGTATGGCTAATACATTATCGACTGAACCATCTTCCCAGCCCTGAGCAACGTCTTTTGTAACTGGTACAGAGCAGGGGAGAGCTGAAGCCATGTGCCCCATCAGCATTTCCCAGTTTACTCCAAGGTACACAGAAAGCATCAGTGTCTCAGGGGTAGGGACTACCTCTGTAAAGGTAGATCTGATGGGAAGCTCTGTCTTTGGACACAGTGGAAGATTTCACAGTTGAGTTTGAGCCTTTAGTTCACACTGAGGTTCTGAAAAGCAAAAATGATGTGGCCAGCAGTGACAACATCTGTGGATCAGAATTTAGAAATTATACTTAAATGGGGGATTTTTAGACCCACAAATGAATTTTAAGATGATCTATAAAATGTAAATGTGTAAAATGAGGTTATCTTTCTTTTCTTCCTTCCTTCTTCTTGAGTGTTGTGCTGGGTGTAGTCCATCTCCATGGGTTCTGCTCTCTGAATTATCCTGTGATTCAACCAAGTAGGGGTTAAAAATATCCTGTCATCATTTCCTAACAACTATACTATAACAGCTACTTATATATTATAGGTCATCTTGAGATGATTTAAATGTACAGGAAGAGGCATATAGCCTAAGCAAGTACAATGCATATGCAAATATAATGCAAATGTATATGTAAATGTAATGCTGCTTTATATAAATAACTTAAGCACCCTGTAGGGAGATGGACAGGTTCATTGAAGTATTCTCCCATGGATACCAAGAGACCCTTTTACATTTGTGTGATTTATCTGAATAAGTATGGGGTTTTTTTTTTATAAAGATTTTATTTATTTATTATGTATACAGTCTTTTGCCCACATGCCATCAGAGGGCACAAGATCTCATTCAAGGTGGTTGTGAGCCACCATGTGGGTGCCGGGAATTGAACTCAGGACCTCTGGAAGAGCAGTCAGTGCTCTCAACCGCCAAGCCATCTCTCCAGCCCAAGTGTGGGGTTTTTAAAGATTATTTTTATTTGTGTGTGTGTGTGTGTGTGTGTGTGTGTGTGTGCTTGTGCATGCAGGCAACTGGCAAAGCCAGAAGCAG